GACAGTGAGACTCCAACTCAAAAAAAAAAAAAAGAACACAGGAAATGACGGTATAGCCCTGGCAACACTGTAGCTTGTTCTTTGATTCTCTTCTTCTACCCCTGGGACACCACTCCTAGGGCTGGCAGGTCTCTCTGTGGAGCATCCACCTGCCTGTTTAAGACCAGCCTAGGCAACTTGGTGGGGCCTCATCTCTACAGTTAAAAAAAAATACAGGTACCAGGTCATCAGGGACAGCCCAGAACCAGAGCAAAGCAGGTCTGCACAGGGTTCCAGCAGAAAATCTTCCCATTCTTGATTTAATAATGAGCTCTCGACACAAACAGAAATCTGCGTCAGGTCTAATAAGGTCAATAACTGCCATATTTTTTCTGAATGATCTTAGAACAGGAAAGCCATTAAAAAATATCAGACATCTTGGAAAAAACAGTTTGCCTCAAGCAGTTCCTGCAAATGGTTTGCTGGAGAAGTCCAGGGGTCTCATGGCTTCGAGGACACATGGGAGAACTCAATGCCAAGTGCTCTTTTTTTTTTTAAATTCTGCATCTCACTCTGTTGCTCAGGCTGGAATGCAGTGACATGTTCATGGCCACTGCAGCCTCAATCTGCTGGGCTCAGATGATCCTTTCGCTTCAGCCTTCCAAGTAGTTGGAACTACAGGTGTGAGCTACCACGCCTGGCTAATTTGTTTGATTTATTGTAGAGACGAGGTCTCACCAAGTTGCCCAGGCTGGTCTCGAACCCCTAATCTCAGGTAATCCTCTCACTTTGGCCTCCCAAAGTGCTGGGATTACAGGTTTGAGCCACTGTGCCTGGCCTCCCATGAGCATTCATTCATTCATTCATTTACTGAGTTAGAGTCTCACTCTGTCGACCAGGCTGGAGTGCAGTGGCACGCTCATGACCTCCCCAGCACTGACTTGCTAGGCTCCCCCATGCGCTCTTAAAGGCACACAACCTGGCAGTAAACTTGCAACTTATGCCAATGGGCACCTTTTCATGGGAACCACATGACAGCTGAGGTCTCACAACATCTCTAGTTTTAGGGCAGCTGTCAATGATACTAAAGGGAGGTGCTAAAAGAAACAACAGACAGAAACCTCTAGAGGATAAAAAGATACAAACAAGCATTTTGTTACCTGGATTGATCTCTCGGTAAGTTCCAATTCCATAAGCATCTACTATGTTCTGGAAGCCATACGTGAACTTGTTGGTTTTGTTGTAGGTTGGGGGAGTCTGGTTTGTCTGCATCCTGTTCAAAATGGAGGGTACAGTAGACCCACTATGCTCCTGGGAAACATTAACACAGAAATTAAAATTAGGGAACCTCTTAATTATGGCAAGGGCTACATAGGAGCATATATTTATCACAACTCATCAGACTTTACACATAAAATATATGTATTTTCTGTTGTGTAAATTATATTTCAGTAAAACCAATGGGAAATAAAATTGTAGATGATCTTTCTTAGCCTTTGGGAAAACTAGAACTAGGTATAAAACTTATAATGAGCCAGGCTCGGTGGCTCAGCCTGTAATCCCAGCACTTGGGAGGCTGAGATGAGTGGATTGCCTGAGTCTGTGGGTTCGAGACCTGCCTGGGCAACTTGGTGAGACCTCATGTCTACAATAAAATAAAAAATTAGCTAGGCGTGGTAGCACGCACCTGTAGTTCCAGCTACTTGGAAGGCTGAGG